CTCATCTTCCAGCTCCCCCGCTACTCCGCGCACTACAGTTGTACTGCAAAGTCGCCACTTCGCAGCTACTACCCACTCACCAGTTCTCATCTTCCCACTCCCCAGCTACTCTGCGTACTAAAGTTGCACTGCCAAGTCGCCAGTTCTCATCTTCCCACTCTCCAGCTGCTCTGCGTACTAAAGTTGTACTACCAAGTCGCCAGTTCTCATCTTCCAGCTCCCCAGCTACTCCTCGTACTCAAGTTGTACTACAAAGTCGCGAGTTCTCAGCCACTACCCACTCATCAGTTCTCATCTTCCAGCTCCCCAGATACTCCGCGTACTAAAGTTGTACTACAAAGTCGCCAGTTCTCATCTTCCAGCTCTCCAGATACTCCGCGTACTAAAGTTGTACTACAAAGTCGCCAGTTCTCAGCTTCCAGCTCGACAGATTGCTCCGCGTACTAAAGTTGTACTACAAAGTCGCCAGTTCTCATCTTCCAGCTCCCCATATACTCCGTGTACTAAAGTTGTACTACAACTTCGCCAGTGCTCATCTTCCAGCTCGCCAGTTCTCATCTTCCCGCTCCCCAGAGACTCCGCGTACTATACTGTCGTACTACCACGTCGCCAGTTCTCAGCTTCCAGCTCCCCAGCTACTCTGCGTACTAAAGTTGCATACCAAATCGCACTCTCGCCTGCATTTCGCGCACTCGACACGCACGATCTCCGCAGAGGGTTGCACTTTCGGTTGACGCTGTTCGTCCCACCCTCCGCCTTTAAGAGAGAATTTATAAAGTGGGGAATGTTTTTCATTATAGGACATCTCCCGTGCTAGTTTTCCATGCTCATCATCGCACTTGCATCATTACACTTGCATACTTTGACACTTGCATACTTAGCACTTGGATGCTTGCTCTCTTCCACGTGCACTGGGGTACGTATAGCGTTCATGTTGTAGTGCAAGTGTGGTGGAAGTGTCAGTGTGTAAGTGTAAGTGTCGAAGTGTCAGTGTTCAAAGGATTTTCCGGAAGAACCCTTCGCAATGCTTTCGGGAAAAGAATATTGAGGAGGGAATCCTGGATGGCCACAGAGCAGGCCATAGGCCAAGGCCTATCCCGTGTTGAATTGTTTGGGCAATCAACCCTGGCAGCATCAAGAGAATTCGACTTTCTCGTGTACCACAAACACCAGAGCCTGTTGGATCCCTCTTTCGGAGCCTGTGAAGACAACACTCTCGGCAAGATCAAAGTGGCTGTTGGGAAGTTTTCAAATCTTGCCCTCTTCCACTTACACGAGGTGCTCCATACATTGAAAGGAAACACTTCCACCCATGGCTACCCAGCGCGCTGCTTCGATGGAGCCATTGTGACAGGATTGGAGCTGACTCAGAGTGAGATCGTGAAGAAGGCCTTGAAATCGACAGGATCAGCAGGACTTGAGTTTGCTGAGCTGGATTACTATGACCTTGATTCTGCAACCCGCTCTCTCATTGACAAGCATCTCTTCCTGGGGTCGATCAACAGAGCCTTTGAGAAATCTGAAAAGCAAGCAGACTCCAATGAAGCTGCTGAGAAGGCTCAGATCAAGAAGGCCTGGGAGGAATTTTGCAAGAAGCACATCACAAAGGATGACATCTCTGGCTTGGGAGAAAGCGAAGTTCTGGACAACATCAAGGCTGGAGTCACTGGCACAGCCACCCTGACAAGGGAGGCTATGGACATGGCCATTGGGACAGTCCAGAATGTTGTTGCCAACTATGATGACAGTGCTTCCTTGGTTCTCGAGCTCTCAGGAGTCACCTTGACTCTCAACGAAGGCAATGTACGTCCTGAACCTCTGGAGGTCACCAAGACAGTCACCAAGGGAGTGTCTGATTCCATTGCCAAGTTGTGCCACAGTTTGCTGCGTGATCGGTTGTGTGCCACGTATGAGAAAGTGGCGAGCAAAGCCTGTTTCGGTGGAAGAAAGGGATGTGGCACTGACATGGGGCATCATATGCTACAGTCATTGTTGAGCTTAGCTGAGCACTCTGTAGTCTCTTCTGCCTTCGTCTTTTTAGACTTGCACGCCGCCTTTTACAGCGTCATTCGTCAAGGGCTGTTCGGTCAGCAAATGCACGATGAATTTTTGTGCATGTTCTTGGCTAGACAAGGGGTGTCACCTGAGGAGCTGGAGGAGTGGTAAAAGCAGGCACAACTGGACTTTGCCTTTAAGGACCAGAGCCCTCTGGTTCAAGGTTGGACTCAGGATGCATTTAAAAATGATCACTTCTCCATGCGAGGAGTTTCGTCGGTTGCCCTGACGAGTCGGGGAACTAGGCCAGGCGACCCGATTGGAGATATATGCTTCAATATCATCATGCAAAAGGTCTTGGCTGAAGTCCGTTGTCGAGTCAAAGACTGGGGATGTCTCGACTTGTTAGAGCGACCGGTGCACCAGATGTTTGATGGAGGGCAGCCAGGATTTTTGGATGTGTCCTTTTTCGACGATGTGGCATTTGGTTTGGTGCACGCCTCACATGACAAGTTGATTGCCGCTGCCACTATGGTGCTGTCTGCACTATGCGATTCGGCACGTACTAGAGGACTTCAAGTCAATTTCCAGGCCGAAAAGACTGAGATAATGCTTGGGCTCAAAGGCAAGGGGGTTCGCAAGAAGCGTCAAGAATTGTGGATGCAGGCTGATGGCACCTTGCCGATTTTGCTTGAACATCGGGTGGAACACGTTAGGTTGGTACGCTCGTACAAGCATTTAGGCTCGCATCTGCAGTGTGACGCTAAGCCTTGTAAGGATACCCAATTTCGCATAGCCTCAGCGCCCAAAGCTTGGGGGCCATTGATTCGATCCTTGTGGACCCAGAAGCAAGTTGCTCAGACCAACAAGAACCATATATTTCGTAGTCTGATTGTGCCTCGGCTGCTGTATAATGTGCATGTGTGGGCCACAGTGCGTGATTTAGACATGCACAAGCTGCAAGCGGCCTTCAAAGAGATGCTCAAACCGGCCATCAGAGGCCCTATGGGTGGTCTGGATGCACACAAGTTTTGCTGTGCTGAAGCCGCAGCTTTAGCTTCCATGCTTGATCCGCGGGTCAAAACCACAATGACCTTTGCGCCAGGGGATGAAGAAGACCAGGCCACGCTCCTGATCAGAGAAATTCGACAGGAATACCTCACCTGGCTGGAGGGTGCCTGCCCTCACCCCCAATTTTTTCCGAAACACTAAGGAGGACATGACAGGCCAGGTGTTGGGTAAAATAGTTGAAGATGACGACCTGGCAGATCGATGGGACCGCGGACTCGGAGAATCAATGAGTGATCCCAAGCAATGGCTTGCATTGCAAGAAGTGGAACAGGGACGATCGAACAAGTGATCGAAGATCCTGGGCTCAGATGGATCTATTGTCCATTGCATTTTCATTTCATTGCAAAACGCGATGCGGTCGGTCAGCAGTTTCGCCAAAGCGGAAGGGGTGGCCCTGCGAGACCTTTTTCACCTAGTCTTGGAATGTGAGAAAAATGACTGGGGCACCCCGGTGGTGTGGGGCGTGGCTGTCCAGGGGGTGTTGGCGCGGAAAAAGTTGACCTTAGCTTGCAAAACCGTCGCCGCCTTCCTGGAGGAAGGCCCTGGCCAAGAAGTCTTCCTACTTCACAGCCACTTTGTCCCAGCATGGGCGCCCATGGTAAATGGCATCAAGCTCCCACAGGTCACAGGGTTAATGGCATTACCATCGCCATTGTCATTAGCGTCACCATTGCCACAGATCACAGGCGCATGGCATCAAACTCGCACAGGTCACAGCATGACCATCACACTTGTCATAAGCATTGCCAGTGCCATCGGCATCATCATCACAATTTGCAGTACCATTGCCACAGGTCAAGGGTTGATGGCATCAAGTTCCCACAGGTCAAGGGTGAATGGTTGTAAGTTGTAACACAGGAAAGCTCTATATAAACTTAACTTCTGTGGCAAGCATCCAGGACCAACTACAATACCACCTATTGCGACTAAACAGGCCTAAACAACGAAGCACGGGAAAACACCCACGCATAGCGTCCCGCTCTCTTTTCTTCTCGGGCTGGAGTCTACTTTTCAGGCAGCACGATTCACAGGTCGGAGTGGTTTTGAGTGAGTGGATGTGTTTGGCGGGGCACCTATACCCCTTCCTCCGAGTGCTCTCGGCACCCCAAGCTCTATGATTCCTGGTGCGAAACACGGCCTGGAGGCTCCGCGCACCGCCGCTCCCTCCAGGCACCCCTCCCTCCGCGCACCGCACCGTTGGGTCACAGCCAGGTGCCAAGTTCATCGCCTTGGATGCGAAACTGCGCCATGGCGACATCTGGAGTGAGACCCCAAGAGGGACTGGAAGAGTTACACCCCGTTTGGGTTCCAACGCATTACCTTCTGAAGACGTGGGACAGGAGCCCTAGGGTACCTACATGGATGGATATCACACATGTATTCGGCCGATACATATACCAGTCCCCCTTCGTTTGCTCTGGGTTTCTTGGATTGGCGCCCCTTTCACCGGCACACGATGCGGGGAGGCAAAACGTAAGCCGGAGCAAAATGGAACCCCTGCAGTTTTAAGAGGGATCGATTCTGTGAAATGCAGAAGGGGCCGAATTCTGTGCAATGTGCCTGATATTCCCAGTAATTCACCACATTGACGTGTTTTTTTGCTTTTAGTGTGGTATCCGCTCCTCCTTCCCTCCTCCTCCTCGCTCCAACTGCCACCCACAAACTGCCACCTACCAATTGCCACCCACCGATTCCTACCAACTGATTGTCACCAGCCAATTGTCACCAACCAATTGTCACCAACCAATTGTCCACCCACCAATTGCTACTAACCAATTATCACCAACCAATTAAAAACCAACCAATTGCCACCAACCAACTGCCACCAACCAATTGCCACCAACAAACTTCCATGAACCAATTATTGTCACCAACCAATTGTCCACCCACCAACCAATTGCCACCAACCACTTGTCACCAACCAATCCAATTGTCACCAACCAGTTGTCCACGCACCAATTGCTACCAACCAATTTTTTCACCAACCAATTGACACCAATTGTGATGAACCAATTAACCAATCGCCACCAACCAATTGCCACGGGTCGGATGTACGCCCTGGCGTCGGCGCGGGGCTTGTGGGTCTCCGCCGCTGTGCCGGTGAGATTTGCGTGGCAGGCGCAGCACTTTGGTGGTGTCCAGAGGGTCCTACGTACGCCTTGGCGTCACCCTGCAGGCTCCTGGGACTCCGCCGCTGTGCCGGTGTGATTTGCGTGGCAGGCGCAGCACTTTGGTGGTGTCCAGAGGGTCCTACGTACGCCTTGGCGTCGCCCTGCAGGCTGCTGGGACTCCGCCGCTGTGCCGGCGTGATTTGCGTGGCAGGCGCAGCTCTTTAGTGCTCTCCAAGGGGTAGGACGCACGCCCTGGCACCACCACTACCAACAACAACCACCAACCACCAACCAACCACCACCAACCAACCACAAACAACGAACCGACCACCACCAACCACCAACCAACCACCACCAACCACCAACCACCAATTGTTTGCTCCTGTGTCTTGTGAAGTTGTTAACATGTGGGGTTTTCCGCTCCTATAATTGTTTTAGGATGTTTAGGATCGCTTGGCCTTGAGATGAACGGGGTATTGATGTTGTTTTTGAATGTTTTTGATGTCATCGGCATTTTTTGATAGTTAGACTTAGGCACCCTAACCAGATGGTTTCCACAACATTGCTGGCCTATTGATGTGTTTGATCCCCTATGAAGGGTGGGCCCCTTAAATGCCCTCAGTGCTAGTGAGTTATTGAGGAACGGGGGCATTGGGAGCATCCATCCTTTAATGGTGATTATTGGTGGAGCATTGGTTGGCGCAAGTACCCTGGGGGCTCCAACTACCTCCTGAGGTTGTAGGGCCTAACTATACCCTTTGAGGATGTAGTTGGAACCATTTGGAACTACATAGCAAGTGGCACTGAAATAGTTTCAGTTTTCCAACCTTTTGCAAAGGCTATCAGCGAAACCCCAGCAGACACCGTTGGAATCCTTTGGGCTACCCTTTTGTCTTAGTTCTGAGCAGCAAGTAGCTGGCCAGGACGACTGACCATGGGAGAACAGGTGTCGTTCTGGTCGTTTTGGGGGATAGGGTGATTTTAGTGTCCCTATATCCGGTGAGTGTTTATCATTATGGGAATATGTAATAATGATGTTTTTGCGGGCCCTTAGGCAAATCGGAGTCATTCCAAGTTTTTCATGCAATCTACAAACATCCATCCAGACGTCCAATTTTTTGTTGGACAAGCTACACCTGGCAACTTTCCCCACACCCCCGGGTGCCAATCCCAAAAACATGGGTTCTGGGCTGGACCACTACAAATTGCAACACATCCAACATTACTCAACCTTCCACAAAATTCTGTCATTTTCTCCTTCACCCTTAGGCCCTTAGGGTTTTGGGGTTGCACAACAGCAGCAGGGCGCTAGGATGCACCATAGGCCATAACAAATAAGGGCTGCCATTTGCTCGACCATTCAACAGGTTTTTTGCCTCGAACGCACCAATGTTCAAAACCTTTAAGACAGCACTGTCTCACCAAAGACTATTTGTCAGAAGATGTGTGAGGGCGTTTGCCAATTGAGGGTCACTGTGCACCCACTTGTCAAAATGTCCCCGATCTCCCAAAGTTGAAAAACGGGAAACCATATGCAAAATAGAATGCTTCCTTCAAGACAAACCACATGGTGGTATTGTTATTTTTTCTGGATGATGTCGAAAAATGTCAACTACACCTTTTGGTGACGCTATGATTGAGCTGGTATTCTTTGAGGGTACACCATTCGGCCCACTGGAACCTGATAAACAAAAAAGTTTTTTTGGTGCAATGATGATTGCAAAAGCCTCTTCACTAACATTTTAGCAATAGCCTCCTCACTTGCATGATTCTTTTCGATGATACACCCACACAAAGACAATGTCATTGTTGCGGGGCATGCCTGATCGGCCCCTCGGGCCACCCGCAATAGAAGAAGGCCAATCAGTATAAGTCTTCCATAACACTGCGCAGCTCCCATGACACCACCGGCACGACGATGTGGGCGAACGCCGACCGCGAAGCAAGCCACCGTATCGCAGCCGAGGACCCGGCGGGTGGTGTGTTGGCGCTTCGTGGCGCCGAAACACCTGGAGGAGCGGGTCAAGCACGTCGCGGAACCGGGATCGGGAGCACCTGGGCCGTGCTCAGGGAGACCGGGTGCATCCAACCTGTTGGGCAGGGTGATTTGGCATCATAGGACTTGGAGCCCGGACCTGAAAGCACCAGAAGGAAAAGGGTACGTGTTGGAGTCATAAGCCAGTTTTTTGGGGTTCGGATCATTGTGCCATTTTCATCAGGTAATTATTACTTTGGTGGTCCAGCTAGCTAGCTGCCATCGATGCACGACTCATTGTGCAATTTTTACTTTAGACTTGGACTTACCTCGACCCACAGCTTTTTCGTGATCTCTATTTTGCACCACCAGCCACTGCAAATATATATATATATATTCAAATTTCCTCTCAAAACGGAGGTCATGTTTGGGCTCTACCAGTATATACGCTGACATTCCCACCATGCAGGTCAACTAGCAACCAGTGATCAGTATATTTGCCAGTCCCCATGTATCATGCAACATGCCGTCTGGGACATGGACTCCCCCCCAGCCTCCACGTGAACGTCGCAGCAAGTTGACCTCCAGAGCAGCCCGGTGAAGCTGCGTCCAGTCGCGCAGGGTCGCGCAGGGTCGACTTGGAGCAGCCCGGGATGGGAGGGAGGTGGGTTCGAAATACTTCCTGTAGACCTCCCAGACGCTCCATGGGACTGGATACTGTACATTGAGGTCATAAATGCATGCATGGGGTCAATGTATGTCATGTACACTCCTCAGGTGAAATGACCAAGCCTCAAAATGCATGCGGCTAAGTCATTTCAATGCACTTGGCCTAAGTCATTTGACCTCAGCTATAACTGTCCCTAGAGGGCTCCAGTCGTACCTCAGAAGGTATGATTGGACCCCACCCCAGTTCCAACCAACAGAGGTTAAGTGACCTTATAGGACCCTACCAGGGTACTGAACTGGGATCAACCTTTGTTGGCTATCCCAGACACGACCTGTCTGGGACTGCCAGTCCGGACTGCCGATCAGTTAGGGGTAGTTGACTGGGGGTCTGTCTGGGGCGGCAGTCCTATGGCAGTCCCAGACAGGTCATGTCTGGGAATTGGGGGTGGTTGACTGGGGGTCAATGGGGCGGCATCTATGGCAGTCCCATTAGTCGTCGTGTCGAAGACCCAGGTCTCGTGGATCTGTCCGTTTCGCGATTGGCGATCGATGTCCTCCAGGTCTCGGAACTGGCTTCGACTGTCCCAGACACGAAGCCATGGGTTCCATGCTCGGAGAAGCGGGAGGGTACACTTCCAACAGTCCAACATGCGTTGTTTGTTCAATGAATGGGCTTATAGGGAACATCTACCAGAAACCATGGTGTTCACCCATGTTCACCCCCAAAACGATGGGTGTCCTGCAGATGTTCCCTTAATCATCTCTTGAATCCGTGGTTTGGTGGTTTTTGGGTCCCTGCCAGGCTGGGCCCCGGGCGCTGTTGCAAGACGCCGTGGCCAAGGATGTGGGGACACCCAGGAAGCCACGATTCCCAAGACCAGGAGGAAGACCACCAGTGGAGCTGGAGAACCCGACTGTTCGGCTCATCCCAGGAACCGGTACCCCAGGTCTTCCGGGTCCTAGGAAACCGGTCACTGGATACCTCTGTTGGGACTTGCGCACGAAGAGTTGTTGGATCTTGCTGGATGACATTCCAAAGCAGCAGGAATGGACCAAGACTCCAAGACTTGAAGACTTGTTTTTTGGAATTGGAAGGGAGGACACTGAGGACTTAAGACTTGCTTGAAGATATGTTTTTCTTTGAATTTGTATGTTGTATGATTCTCTCCAACAATCACGGTCGCCTTGACATCCTGGTGTCTGGGAAGACCATGAAATCCTCTACAAACAGGCGGTTATCCACTTCCATGTTTGTTGCAGGGACCTGATGGTATGTGTCCCAGACTCCCCATGGGACTGCCATATATGCCGATCAGTTGGGGTGGTTGACTGGGGGTCAATGTCGGCATATATGGTGGGTGTTCATTTCTTCACTCCCCTCGCTCCGACTGTTCTCTCCGAGTGCCAGATTCCATCCTGGACCCCGCCCCATCCTGGGCCGAAGAACACGTGGGCCGATGTGGTCGTCCAATTCGCTGCATCAGAGCCGACTCCTTGAGCCATCAGCCGTTTCACCCGCTTCAGGTGCAACAACTACAACTCTTGAGACACCCATGCCTTTGCCCGTGCGACAACTACGTCCGCGGTGGTTGTTTGGCGTGGCCTGTTCTCACGGCGCAAGAACACTTTGACTACCTTTGACTCATAGCTCAACTGAATGAGCATTATTTTGTAGGGATCCAAGTACCTTCTCAGAAGGTACTTGGACCCTCCAAACCTACATAACAGTGTCTCCAATCATCTTCTGAGAAGGTACTTGGATCCCTAGGGATTTTCAGTGGCCTTCAGTCATGCATTAGCGCTGTTTAGGTGATTACGTAGCCCTTGACTTGCAGAACAGCATGGCGATGGGTCAGCAACAACAGGTATTGTTTGAAAGAACTCAAAACCACACAAAGCGACACGGTTGGAGGTCTTCGCTAGTAACGTACATTAGAGGCCATCGCACCAGGTTGGAGGCCAGCTCTACCAGTTGACGTTCCATCCAGTAGGTAAAGGCAGGTACAGGTGGATGATCAGATATGATCAGTCCACCCTTCCCTCGTCATACCCGTAGCTTCATTGCGTACGGTAATTAGGTATGACGAGCCGTACGCCCCTGCGATTAAAAGTTCCAGGATTGTCCTCCTAGACACGGAGTGGGACACACACACACACACACAAGGCCGCATAGCGGCGCGCTCTCGCTGCAGACTTTTTCAGTGGTTCTAGTGGAAAGCTGGCGGTCACTTGACGTAGTGGACAGCTTAACAAAAATAATCAAACAGATCCATTCTACCAGGACCTTCCAAGTCCGACGGTTTTTGGACACTCCGAATCAACTCAGCTCGAGGTTATAGACACCTCTTGGAGGAGGAACATTCGATTCACCCAAAAGCAAAGGAGCCATTTGATGTTAAGTGACCGGTTTCATAGGACCGTCACCTGGGGTACCGGTTCCTGGGATAGCCGAAGAGTCGGGCCCTTCAACCTCTGTTGGAAGGAGCTACGTCGCTCGTGGACTTCGTGGCGGGGGGGGCGACGTCGCTCCGTCGGTGCGACCGATTCTTCGTGTGCACGGAGTCGCCGACCGGGCGACCTCTCCAATGGAACAGGCTCCTCCATATATAGAGGTATTATATGGTATTATAATGTATTATAATGTATTATAAGTATATAGTCATTTGGAGTCTAAAGTGCAAATCTTTCCCACCATGCTGATCACTGGTATACCAGCACATAGACCACTGGGTTGGAGGGATAGTAGGGTTCTCGGACGAATGGGTCAGGTACTTCGGTGCTGAGATGGTGGGCAAGGAGCTGTGCGTGGTCACGGGCTACGTCCGGGAGCTCGTTTGGGACGCTGCCCGGGGGGGGTTGGATGTCAAGAAGACCACTGGAGTGAATCCACATCATGATACAAACCCTCGACATGTGTATAGATGTTTGTAGATTGTGTATGAATCAAACCCTCCAGTATCCAAAATGAATCTAAACATCTCCAGTGATCTCCAGGCTTTGGGCGGAGAGTTTTCATTCAGTACAGTCTACAGCACTGATTCAGACATATGGAGTGACCCTTAACCCGATTTGGGCATTTGGGGGGATCTACTACATGTCCGCCGCATCTTGGAGAAGTTGAAAGAGACTGTGCTGGATCGTCCGTGCTTTGACAATCCAAGGGAGTAAAACACTTGCCGATCAAGTGGGGATAACAAATAAGATGTTTTGAGAGTCAATATAGTAAGTAAATATTCCATACACAGACCATCCAGGAATCCATATTATATGGATGCTCTACATCGACCCCTGTTCAACCACCCCAATGTAGGTCAATAGGCCAGTCCTTTGGTTTGTTTCGGATACATGGATGGTTTGGGGGTGCTGTAGCTACATGTAGAAATATAATGAAGTATACTATCAAATATTACAGTAAATCCCAGTTACCACCATGTAATGTAAGGGATTCTAGGTCTATGGTCTTAGTCTTTGGAACCACTGGTTGCCAGCTATAGTGGTTTGCCTGGATGCCCTGGGATATATAATTATGTTTTGGGATGTTTTGGGTCTCCAACCACCTGTACTTCATTTTTGGATGTGGGGCAGCCCATCTATGTGGTTTTGTGCTTGACTCGATGTTTGAATCTCGATGACTTTCCCAGGGAAACGAACGGCTCAATCCAGTGGCATGCAGGGGAAGATGTTTACGCAAATTGAGTCACCAACATGGAAGTGGGTCATCCACCACCTGTTTCTTCTTCGGAGCTCATCCGAACACAAAAACTCGACGGGCCTCCATGCCATTGCCATCTACTTGCTCCATCTGTAAGCCAAACATGATCGATTTTGCCGGCTCCCCCCCAAAACCAGAAACGCGTCCCCAGTTGCTGCTGCCGTTGACCGCCGCGCCGAATCATCTCTCCGGCTCTCCGAGGCCTCCGGCGGCTCGGTGGCCGATTGGCTCGCCGACGCGGGGCCGGTGCCCGAGGCCGGTCCCAGGAGTGAACGATTGTTGCGAGGGGGTCACAGGTTGTGATGATTGTGGTTGTTTACCCTATAGGGTTCTAGGTGTGGTGGTTGGCCTTCCTCGAAAATGAAACGAGTTCGGTGGGGGAGCCCAAACGCTCGGGTTAATCGGCTAGCTCAGGGCATTGAGACGTGCTCTTCTCCTCGTCACGGACCAGACAGCGGTGCTAAGCCTGGCGCCAGTCTCGTCGGACGGAGGTGGAGGTGACTCCTGGGGTCGTCCCAGTGACCGAACTGGATAGTCCGACGCTCCTGGCGTTTTTGGGAAGGTCCTGTTCATGGTACACGGATGTGCACAGGAACACACAGGAATTATATGAACAAACGTTTTTTTTCAAGATTGGTTCCGTGGGTTCTACTTCATAAGTAGTGTGTTACTGGTACTTACATATAGTATATCGTATGGTAACATTTAGTTGATAGTTGTTTGCTTATATATTGTTAGTTTAAAAACAACAAGGTTAATTACAGTTGCACATAGTTGCACTCATTTTGGCAGAGTTGAACCGTTTCACCTAAGTGAGCTTTATGATAGACCGCCGGAGTACTCAATCATATGAAGGCCCATCATGGTCCTTTCCTATCGAAACAGGGGTGACCGCAGGTTCTTCCTGTATCTGGAACTTGGATCTGCTGCAAGATTCAATTCCCACTAGTTCCAACAGTCGTTCCGAACCAGGTTGCAGTGAGTGATGACCTAGTGTGGTGGTGCATAAAGGAACTTGTAGAGACGTGGCTCAGAACTACCCTTGAGATTCCTCCTTGGGATGCATGCTCCATGGTCCCCAAGTAGGGCAGAGGCAAGCAAGAACCTGTTTGGCAGGCACAATCCCCAGGACATTCCTGAACCCCCCTGAATGCATCAGTGAGGCATGAAGATGCCAGATTCCAAAACCATTGCTGGAAAACAATCCCAGACACTCCATGGGACTGCCATATATGCTGATCAGTTGGGGTGGTTTTGGGTGTCAATGTATATATGGCAGTCCCATGGAGTGTTTGGGAATAGTACTTAGTAATTCGCATGTGCTCCTGATGTGTGGCTGTGCCAGGCTCCCTGCTTGCGAGTGGTTCAGCTGGGGCCCTTGTCCATGTACGGTTTGGGCTTCGGATTTTGCAGCTAGGGCAAAAAATGGCTTGCCCGGTTTGATTGGTGTTGTGCATGTTTTGATCGGTGCGGATGGCGAAGTTGGGAACCTTTGCCGCAGTTGTTTCGATGCCTTTGAGATAACGGTCGGAGGGCCGGTGGGAGGGCGAATTCACCGCAAGGACCCGAAGAGCAACGCCCCAGCGGTGCCAAAAGGGTGCTTATAAAGGAGGTTTAACGGTTAAGGGTGCTCATTACCCACTCACTTAGGGACTACACATCCCTTGGTGACCCCTGGTTTGTTAATCGCATTAATCAGATCTTGGACAGATTGGAGCTCCAGAATATCTTCCAATCAGGATGTTCTGGGATTCTTTTGACATCTTTTGAACTTTTTGACACAGTTTTGATGGTGATGGTATGTGATGATAACGCTTTTGTTGTTGTTGTTGTTGTTGGTTCAAGGCTCAAAACATCGAAAATGGGGTCAGGAGCCTACGGCAAGGGTAAGCAGCAATGGGACAATTACTACCGGCAGAAGGGGAAGGTCAAAGGAAAATTTGACAAAGGAAAGTCGAAAGGAGGTAAAGGTGGTGGAAAAGAAGAAGATCCGCCACAGAATCAAGAGATTGACAAAGAGAAGGACGAGGAAGACCCTCCCAAGAATGCCGATAAGCCAAAGAAGGATGCTTCTAAGAAGAAGAAGCCGAAACGCACCAGGTTTGGGGCTCCCAAAGACTCCACTTATGAACCGCCAATTGCGGATGTGGACGTCTCCCTAGTCACTGAACCTGGGAGATTGGGTATCTATTTGAACCCACTCGTCATCATGGAGGGCCTCATCTATGGTCTCGATTCAGCTCGTGACTGTCAACGTTCGGACAAGATTCCCTTCTATCCTTTGTTGTTGGGAATCAATGACATGACTACTCAGCAAGTCATGCAGTCTTTGAGCATGTGTGACCGCCAATACACGAAAATGGTGGGCTCCAATATCCAGATCGACAACCCACAGGACTTGATTGCCGCTGTGAGGACTGGAATGGAGAGTGCTCTTTTGACGAACGTGACAGCACCGGTGCTTTCGAGATCTGTTGGTGCTTTGTCAATGGAGAATGGTGAAAATCTGGAGTCGGTTGGGATTCCATTTCATCCACTGATTGCAGATGCAGCTCCAGGTGCAGGAGAAGTCTCCACTGACCCTGCACAAGCTCAGCTTCGTTATGACGTGACTGGAGGAGAGATTCCCATAGCCTATTTGGCTTATGGCATCCCCAACATCGTCTTAGCCACGTTCATGAAAGCTGTGTTGGAGTCTGGACTTCCTAACCGATGCCAAACTTTCAACGACGTCATCAACGTCGTGACTCTGACTCACTTCCCATTCATGATGAGGTTCAACCCCAACATCGTGAACTTGTTTCACCTTTTCGAACCTTTTCGGCCAGCCTTTGAGCGGGCTACTACACCTTCTCAGGACGCGTATTTAGCGTCTGTTCGTGACGAGCTTGCTCAGGGCGATTTCTGGACGAATCTCTACGATTCGCGAGTTGGCCAAAATATGGGTTTGATCTATGCCAACCTCTGGAATGGATTAGTGAAGAGAGGAGTCGAGAAGAAGGATCTCATGGAGTGCGCCTGATCTCCATTCAGAAGCTAGCGCTTTCAATGGATGCACTTCATATTCTGGAGAAGAGCTTTGATGATCAATTGCTTCGACTTCGGAATCCTGCTCCACCTCAACAAGAGCTCCAATCTATTTACGAACTTGAGGTTTCACTTTGTGGTGTTGGATCCTTGTTTTCGATGAATGCAAGGTTCGGTTTTGATTTGCCATACACCACTCAGATTGCTCAGGATGCAGTTTTCTTTCTGCAGAGCTTGATCTGGAACCAGTACAATGGAGTTTTGAGCAGTGGTGCAGTTCAGCTTAAAGCTGATTTGATTCGTGCGATCTCAAGGGCCATTGTAGAGAAGGAGAATCCGAAAGCTTATGGCCAAGACGCCCCAAAGTGAATTTGTGAACTCTTCGTCCCGGCTGCTTTTTTTATCATTAACAGGCTCACCCCTAAGACCAGACCCGATAAGATCCAACTCCGTTCTCAAGAGGGGCATCTTTTGAGTCCCACTGAATCCTTTCACACGCTCGAGCACTGACTCGGATTAAGGGCATGAAATCCATGGCTCCGCATAAGAGTCCAGGCTTTTCCCTCAAATGCACTGCCACTTGCATGGCCACCCAACTCATGCCTCTATTGCAGGATTGGTGGGGACGGTTCCCGCCACTTATCCCACAGGAATGGAAAGACGGCTGGCTCTTTTTGTTGCCCAAGCCATCGAAACCGCCTGACCGGCCAAGCAACTTACGACCGCTTGCCTTGCAAGAGGGTGTAGGGAAAGCCGTGTTAAGTTTGATTTGCACACAGGCCAGGCGGGAAGCGCAGGATGTTCTCGTCCGATATCCACAGTTCGCATACATGCCGGGGCGAGGCTGTGAGGACGCCATTGCACGGGCTCTCATGCATTGTAAGCAGGTCATGAACATGCATAAACACCATGGTGCCTCCCTCACCCCACCCAAAGTTTTTGGAGGACTGACATTGAGTATCGACCTCAAACAGGCCTTTGATACGGTGCCTCGGACCACCTTGTTTGCCGACCTTGAGGAGTTGGGCATCAGCCACAGCATTTGCACCCTTCTCCGGGCATGGCGTGTGAATACACAATACCATATAACCCATAAATTCCAAACTGCTGCAATCCCTGTTCTCCGTGGAATTAGGCAAGGATGTGTTGCTGCACCCTTTTTATGGGTTTGTTACACGGTCAAGCTACTGTGTGAACTTAGCCGTATAACTGGAGAAGATTGGATCTTGGCTGCCATCACCCTTTTTGCGGATGACATCTTAGCACAGGGCACCTTCGAGACCGCTGCAGAGTGTCACAAACATCTTGAGAGGTTTGGTGCCCTGTTAGATGTCCTGGAAGCTGGAGGCATGCACATCAATTTGCAAAAGACAGAGGCCATGATCACCATACACGGCCGCAATCAGACCCTTTTGCAGCGCCAGTGTGTTCAAAGGACTGCCAATGGATTTTTTCTGAAGATCCCACGACAACACACGACCTCCCTTGTTCGTTTGACCTCAAGTTGTGGGTACTTGGGAATTCAACTGTCATATGGCAATCCTCAGCTGGAGACATTGCAGCGACGCATGCGCTCCAGTCAACTGGCCTTCAAACGACTCTCGCTCTGGCTGCGAAGGAAAAGAGGACTCACGACTCAGTATAAATTGGCAATCTGGCAAGCAATGGTACGCTCTTCGATGGTCTATGGTCTTTTGATTGTCGGCTTACATCGATCAGGGCTCCACAAGGTGATCAAGACCATGACATTGATGCAAAGAATGATTGTTTCTGATCACTCGTATCGCACTGGTCACAGTCATAGCCACTTTTTTCAACAGAATCACATCGAACCGCCGAATGCCTTTTTGCGACGCCTGTGCCTGAACCTACAGCGACGTCAAGAGCTGAGAACTGTTGAATGCAATGAACGGGACATTCGACAAATTCTGGACCTATTGGAACAGCTGCACGAGCCTGACAGGTGGAGCCCAGCCAATTTTCCCTGCCCAAGTTGTGACCTTGTATTTAACACTGCAGCTCAATTGACAAAGCACATGCACAACATCCATGACACCGTGCCACGAACTCAGCACATCTTCAGGTACGACCTGGACGCTGCCACAGGCCCTCCACGGTGTGGGCACTGTGACATCCAATTTCAGTCATGGGCCAAGCTCAAACAACATGTTGCTTTTGGTTTTTGCACCACGTACTCCACAGGATTTCGAGGAGATCGAACACACAGTGAACTGCAAGAACGCTTTCGAGCAATTCCCTCAGATCTTTTGTTGCATGAGGTTCAACAAAATCCCTCATGGCTTCATTGGCTTAAGAGTCATTGCATCCATTGTGGTAGGCTTAATAAGAATGCCAGAACAGGAAGACAACATGCTGCTAGTGAACATGCTGGTGTTTCTCTCTCCAAAACATATCAGTTTTATCAATCCTGGCTTTCGCACGTTCGTCTCTCACCATGTCCCTTTTGCCAAGCTTGTTATGTAAATAGCCATCAATGCAACACGTTGTTTCAACTTGCTTCTTGGCTCTCCGCTCAGGCTATGACCAGCACTACAGGCTCCGCCACCATTTGTTTGCATTGTGCTCAAACGTTTTCGACCGACACCCAGCTGAATGAGCACTTGCGAACTGCACATCCGCGGTACTGTTGCATTCGGGACTCAGTTCGAGTCAATCCACAGTGCCGACCCTGTGGGTCCGAATTCAAAGAGATCTGGGAATTGCAGAGGCACATCAACAGAGGGTCTTGCAATTGCATAGACTATTTGGCGGACCAACAAGGTGTGCTCCGTCAAGAAGAAGCAATGCTGGATTCACTGTTGTGGGGAACATGGAAACGTTTTCTCGAGGGTTCCAACAACAAGATGTTGCTCACCATCACGTGCACGATGTGCGGCCAAGGTCTGCGCCGAGCAGCGGACCTCATGAGGCACATCCTGACGCAGCACGGCCCCTTCCACAAGGCCGCTGAGATCTTCACTGCCCTGGCCCTGATCGAGGAAATCCAACCAGGTTGCAGTTGTAATCCAACCGTGAGTACTGGACAACAGCGTAGAAGTCACCGATGTTTGGCCTACAGGCAGATTGCGATGATGCATCATATTTTGAATCCAGGGCCACTTCAGGTATTGGTACCATGGGAGACTCCACAAACAGAGGTCATGAAGATCCTTGCGAACAATCCACTGCTGATGGCGCAGGCCCCAACTCTTGGCTCCATGATCGCCATGCGCACCTTTGCTCAGATCTGGACAGACTTGACAACCTGCAAGGCCCTCAGTCAGTGTTGCTCTATGTGCAATAGAACCTTCCACACGCCTGACATGTTGCTGGATCATCAATACCACCTCCATGGAGAATTGATTGGAAAAATCCCTCATCTCCTACAGTACGTGACCACTCAAGTCATGGCACTTGGACGTGCCCTTCCATGCACACTTTGTGGCACGGACACCATCACCTACCGGTTAGAAGACAGCACGGCGTGGGCTCAAGTTCGCCACAAGTGCCCAACCATCCTGAATCTCTGCCTCATTTTGGCACAGCTTGGTCCCTATGGAGGCTTCACGAGAGGTGGTGCCCCTGTCCGCCGCAGACAGGACGACCCAGCTCCAGGCAGCATTCTTAAATATGCTCGTGCCACAAGATCCAGCAGAGGATACCAGGAGAACGAAACGGCAGAAGCACAAAGGTGGCATGAAGATGGAAACCGTGTCCCAAGACCATCCTCGAGAACAGAACGTGAACCGTCTCTGCCACTTGATGGCCCGCGTCATCATCCGGCACGAGGACTCCCTCCAATCGATCCACACGCAGGACAGCTTCATGTTGTACTTCAACAAAGGGGCTCAGGGGATAGTCCCGGCCCTTCTCCAAGCAGGGATGGATTGGAAGGAGGAGAGTGCTCCGACGAAGCCACTTCGAGCTTGTCTGATGCAAACAGTCATGGAGCAAATGATGATGAGATATACAAGTTTCTGCAACAAGCTATCGGACGAGAGCTTCCTCAAAGCGAGCCAGGACTCCTTCCTTGTGTTGCCGAACGGGATGCTTCCCTACTTGATGTGGGACCGGGATCAGGAGAAGCTTGTGCCGTCAAACACGTTGACCCCACTGAGTCGCACAGACTTGGAGACCAAGCTCCAGTCCCTTCAGAGTGCGATGTCCCAGTCGGAGAACATCATTCGGTTCAACTCCATGGCCAGCCAGAACTCTCGGGGCGAAACCTTTCCGTGGCGACTTCAAGTGCCATTGCGGAACGATCCACTGACGGTATTGCTACGATCCTTATGCCATCACAGCTCTTGGTTGCTGATAGCAGGACGCCTCTTGCCTCAGAGCCTGCAACGCAGCCGCCTTGTACAGGACCTGCAGGAGGCCACCATGCCGAGGAATGCCCGCCGACCAGCAACCTGACCAGCAATGCATTGATGCCGGCCTTGTTGAACATGAGCTTGAGCAATGATAGTAATTGGTGCTACTTGAACTCGAGCCTCATGAGCTTTTTGTGGACGCTTCTTCATCAAAGAGGATGCGACTCTGATCGTATGGGGAAAGTCAGCTCAGTTTGCCAAGCTTTTCTGCAACAGCCAAGGGGAGAGGCCATTGCACTTGCCACTATACTATGCCTGAGCTGCATACCTTGTTGATGCACACCAGTGAAACAACAGGACCTCGTGACTGTGCAGAATTCACAGCCGAGCTCCTGTCATGGTGTCAGTGTGACAGTGTAGACATGCACTGGGAACGTCGAGTTTCAACTGTCAATGGGGCGATTTGCGAAGAATCCGGAGGAAAACACCATCCCTTGGCACTTGACGGACTGTATGAGCTTGACCTCATGCACCCAACAGTGACAGATCTCTGTCAAATGTGGACATACGGCCACGGCATGCGAGCTGCTTTCACGTGTTTGCCTGGCTTGAAGTGTGTTTTTATAGACAGATTGATGCAACCCACTCGATACTTAGGCCATTTCCAATGCTTGGACATTTTGTCCACCACGGAGCTGCCCTTCTTCTATGACGATGGCGTGGACCTTCAGTGGTCCGCGTTTCGAATCCAGAGCATCGTATGTCACACTGGCTCGAGCATTTCCGGCCATTTTCGAGCAGTCTTGAGATGCACGGAGGGCTGGTACATCTGTCAGGACAATGAACCACCAACTTTCCATGCGCACCTTCCCAAGTGGTGCCTCGAGCGAGCAGTGCTGATCTGGATGATCCCGATCACTGATGAGGTCATTTCAGACCACCAGACACAGGACTCATCGTCCGAATCCGACTCCGAGTCAGGTCCACCGGTGCCGGTGACACAGATCACCCATGGTAGCATGACCCCCATTCCCCCCAGCTGAGGACCCACAGGACCATCCCGTGTCTCCTGAGGGTGCACCTGCTTTAAGCCTGGTGCTCCAAAGTGTCTTGGAGAGTGTCTTGGATGACACTGATGAGCGGTGGCTGCGCTGACCTTGCAGCTGCCGTCTACCGTGCTGAGCTGATGCGGCTAGCCGCATGTGGCTGCGCTTGGCTGCGCTTAGCTGGCTCCGCGACCAGAGAGTGAGAGATTTCTTTAGTCCTCAGGATTTTTGCACCGTACAGGTATCACTGAGGATACTTGAAAACAGGATCCTTGAAAACCTGATCCCGGATCCAATTGGAATGCCTCCAATTGTCGATGGCGCGAGACCTCAACCCTCTCAGCGTTAGAGAAAGAAAGAAAGAAAGAAAGTTGTTGTTGTTGTTTCAAAGCAAATTGAACCACAAAACCCTTAGAAACCGTAGAAACAAGAACGCAAAGAAGCTTCGACTTCCCAAATCCCATTGTTGGCGTTGTCCCAAACCATTTCGACACCTTCCCGTCACCGGAAGAACTGTGTCACCGTCGACGGACCATGCAGGGCGGGAGCCCGTCGTAGTTTCGGCGTGGGAGTCGTTTGCAGGTCCGTCTTGCAGGGCTTAGAGTTCCTCCACCGGCACATGGTCACCCACGGTGCACTGCGAGGCCGACTGCAGAGCAGGACCTCGGACCTACTCGGGTCAAGGTCAAAAAACAAGCCAGGGCATCCAGGCAAACCACTGGTAACCAGTGGTTCCAAAGCCTAAATTAAGCTATAGGCCTAGAATTCTTGGTTCCTTCTATAGGAAACATGTTTTTTTGGGGGGGCGGGCACAGTGGTTGCAACAGATAGACGTCGACCATTCTGTGGAGCTCCGAGCAGTAGTATGCCAAGCTCCACACAGCGTGATTGAGGCAATATTGAGGCTGGTTAGACCCCTCTGGCACCCACCCCAACCATCTTCTCAGGAGGTGGGCCAGGAGCCCTAGGGTATATAGAGTCATCACTAAAACCGGAATTTGGAATCAGTGGTGAATCCGTCAACCATTCAATCTCCACTGATTCTGACGCTTGGCACTAGTCAACCCAGTCAACGTCGACTCATGTGTTCGAGTGATCGGTGATGATGCTGCTGTTCACGAATGTGCTGGGCTCATCCCCTGGGGATCCAAGATTATCCAGGTAAGTACCTTCTCAAAAGGGTGATTGGAGGCACTGTTACATAGGTGCCAGGAGGGTCCAAGTACCTAACCTGAGAAGGTACCACTGGAACCCTAAAAAATTGTCGGATACGACCTGAAACAACGTTTGAGTTCAGACATCGCATTGCCATTCTTGACGGTCCCGTCACGCGGAACCGCTCTCGCCGACCGGGTTTTTGCAGCGACCGGACTCGAACGAAGCCCCCAGCCTTTAAAAACAACTCTGGACTTGAGCACAGCTGTGGATCTACAAAAGCTACTACATGAGTAAGTCCAAGCTGATATTTTGTGTCCATTTGCCATGCTTTCTACGCGTGCAGGGCTTCATGGTGACTCGGATGCCTCCTGTCGGAATCTTGAACCAACATGAATCGAATCAACATGTGTTCCATTTCTTTAATCCAAGACTCTTGCACACCAAGTTGTATCAGCTCTGGGGTGTAGGGACCGGTGTTGTTGAGATGTCTATATGGCATCCCGTTCGGCTTCCGTTCGACCATTCAAAGAGGTCGGTTGACCTGGGTTTTTGTAGTGTACAAATCCAGCTTAGTAAAGCAGCTGGTGATTCGGGAGTCAGACCCTTAAAACAGCTGGTGGCTTGGATGTTTATTTATATGGCCATGGCTCCTTGGCACTCTTCACCCCTCTCCGAGAGCTCGAAGAGACGGCAATGAGAAGGACCTTCGCGCAAGGCAAGGTTTAATACAGCGTTGGTACAGAGCTAACTAGCTCAGCAGGTAAGTTGTCTTTGTTTCATTTTCTTTTCGTTTAAATCTATAGGCTTCCATGAAGTTTCCAGCGAGCCAGATGTGTTTCTAAAGTCATGATTCACCCGATGCTTTCATGTCCACATCGGATGCCTCCAGAACTGCATCCATCATGAGATCCAGTGGATGCCCCTCTGCGGAGTGGCGAAGTTTCACCCTTCGCTCACGGCGGCGCCGACCGTGAGCGGATGTGGTGCCTCAGGTGGCAACGTCTTGTTAGGTCCTGGCTCAGCGATCCGCCTTGGTGCCGGGCAGCCCGGGATCCGACGCGCCGCGTTCGTGGTGGGCGTTGGTCACCCAGACGATCCATGGGACAGGTATGGACTCGGTATGGACGGCCCATGAACTGGACCTACATGAAACACCATGTGCACAGGACACTAAACATAGATGCATGGAAGCAAGAAGGGCCTTTTTGACAATCCTTGCTGATTAGGGACAGGTGACTGATTGAACCCCTTGCTGATCTAAGTGCTGGATTAGTTCAAGCGATTGTCAGACGCTGTTGTCATGGATCGTCACAACCTAGGGCCTGCTAGTCGCCTGCGCACGGTGTAGTCGGTCCGTCGACGGCGCCGAGATCCCCGGAGTGTGATCCGAGGAGGTCTTCTTGTTGGTATGCATCCCTAGGGCTCCAGTCGTACCTCCTCAGAAGGTATGACTGGACCCTCTAAACATTCTAAACCCACCCCAAACACCTTCTCAGGTATTTGGAGATCTAGGGCCTAGGGCATAATATATTTTTTGGGGGTGGAAATAGTTCGCTTCGGAACGCGGGAACGGTATCGCTATAGGTTGGAGGCCATCGCTACGACTAGTCTGCACTGTCTGGTTGCTAACTGCAACCCACCCCACCCCCCACCCCACCCCCCCACCCAACCCGCTCATTAGTTTGCACGGCAGAAGTGTGCTTTGAAAGGCCATCAAAACGTGTGTGTGTGTGAAGATGTTGACCTTGTCCAATCTGGCAACCCTTTCAGCACTTCAGAGTCGCACTGTCTGGTTGCTAACTGCAACCCACCCCACCCCATCCTTCATCCTTAAACCCTCCCCATCTGTGTCTGTGTGTGTGTGTTCTAAAGTGAACCAAAAAATCAGGTGCGTTGTGTTCCAAAGTGATCTCGCTTTTTGCTAACCCTTCCATGTTTTTGTGTGTTTTGTGTTCCAAAGTGACCCATGTTTTGTGTTCCAAAGCGAACTAAAACCCTGTGTTCCAAAGTGAACTAAAACTTGTGTTCTGAAGTGACCCCGCTTCCCCTCCAAACCCCCAAGCACCGCCCGACCCAAACCGCCCGAGGACTTCGGTCTCGCCGCCTTGCGGCAGACCGGCGCCTCCGCGGCGCCTCTGGGCGCGGCGGGAGGGCTCCCCCCGACGGGCGCCTCCGCGGCGGCGCTGGGCGTCCGGGCGACTCAGTCGAGTCTCGGTGACGAGCCGAACGACCGGCGAAGACAGCTGGCCATGGAGCTGTCTTGGATATATATGTCGAGCCTTCCAGATGATTCAATATAAGATCATGTAATACATGTCTGTATATAAGCAAATATACTGGTGATATTAGGTGGTTGGTTGGTGAATGTAGGTCAGATATCTCCCATGGATTGTTGTTGGGGTATTCTAGATATTCTAGTCTCACGCAGCCAGAAGCTTTGATGGTTGGGACAGACTGAGCCCTGTCAGCGGCTGGGCGGCTACAGTTCACCTACCATCGGGGTCGATGTCGCAGCAGCTGCTAGCTGTAGTACGCCTTGGTGGTCAATGAACACCTTAGATAGTTGTGTTTTTTGGTTGGGGTTCACATGTTCGAGAGGGAACATCAGCCTTGTTAGACTGTTAGACCTTCCTACTTGGGGGTTGCAGCAAAGCATGGGAACACCCTTCGCCCAGAGAGGTCTGAGGTTTTTCACCGCCCCACATATCGTCCATCCCAGTCTCTGTGTCCCGCAATCAGGCTTTCCCGTCCATCTCTCCATCTCTCCGCTCAATTTGTTTTTTTGTAATAATTAATGTGACCGATCTAGGATAAAGAGAAACCTTATAAATGGGACCAAATAATAAGTAGATGGATCACTCTTTTGCTTCGCGGGTTCACGTTCAGTGTTGGGAACCGTCTATGCATGGGACGTTCGGTGAGGTAGTACCTGGGAGTGCATGGCTCTTCCCGGTCCCGATGGATGGAAAGAGTCACCTACCAATGGGCCATTTGTGTAGGTAGAGAGCGGTTTCAGAGTAGATGTCACAACCCCCCATACCTATAACCTCTTCTTGGGCAGAAATTTCTGCCTATTATGGGTAAAGGCGACTTTGCCCGTGCTTAGGCGTTTTTGCCCCCTGTAGGCGTTCTTGCCCCCTTTGGGCGTTCTTGTCCTTTTGGTGGCACTGCTCAAATAGATGAGGATCCACCCACCACTGATTCCAGGAACTTTCACAGTGAGGTACATTTGCTTGTCAGGAATTCACTTAATGTTTCTCTGGTGATCTCTGTTGTATGTTTTTAGTTTTTCTATGCTTTGATTCAGTGCTTTAATCACGAAAGGTAGCTTGAGCTACCTGAGTTCTCCTTGCTTTAGCAAAAATGTATTACAATTGAATTTGGTCCTGTAAGAGTTGATTCTGTTCGTCGGGGGGGGGCCCCCCCCCTGGATCAAATCCCCCCTGCGCCGGTTCACGCCGTCATGGACTTTTACCAGGGTTGCTTGTGATTGCCTGCTACCTTTCGTTCACCCCCTCCTCTCTCAAGTATCTTGATGCGTAGGTGTTCTTCCCGTCACTTAGGCGTTCTTACCCGTTACTTGGGCGTTCTTGCCCGTTACTACTCCCGTTACTTAGGCGTTCTTGCTTGTTCCCCCCTCACTACAATCAGTAGTTGGGCGGACAACGGAATGGTAGCCTTTTGGGGGGGAGTGAGCGACATGAGTTTCAATAACTTTAGACTGGGATTAGCGTCAAGTGGCAGGCGTTTGTTTTCTCAATTTTTGTCATTCAAATTCTGGCTTTGCCTCCTGCATGTAAGAATGCATGTGATTGTGCCTCGTCGTTTTTGACCCTCGAGGCTGCAGCTTAGGCGTTCTTTGAAAAACGGGCTGAATTTTCTGCCTAAATGGCGTTGGGCGGACATTATTGCCTAACGATGTTCTAGGTATTTTGTTTTTTACATGTTCTGTTTGTTTTTTTCTTGGATGGAACATGATGGAACCATGTTTTAAGCACCTAACTTGGGGAAGACGTGGTTTCTACTCTTAATCCGCAAGCCAAATCTCCGGTACCATGAGCCATCCACTTCCAAGGAGTGCACCGGACCCGTTTGGGCTCCGAACAGCCCACGGAACTCGTTTCGGTTCGGGACAAGGGTGGTGGTGCCAGGGGTCGAATACCACCGGTCACCTCAAGAGATGGGCCAGGAGCCCTAATTAGGGGACTATCCCATAGGTACCCAGGGTCCATCAGGGTCCTATAAGGTCACTTATATACCTTGAGTCTCCAATGACCCCTTTAAAATCGCATAAATTCGCCTTTCCAAGAAAAACGGTTGCTGAAAGAAAACACGTTTTAAACCATATTTCACGCAATGTTCCTTTATTGGTTGTGCCCTGTCAGATCCTCCTTAGACAGTGTCCTGAGACTGTTTTTCGGCGTCCCAAAGGCGTCCAAAACGTGCCTTTTTGCGTCCAAAAGGCGTTTTTAAGCGTCCGCACCGGACGCGTCCGGATGAAGATTTACTTTTTTGAGTCCTTGTCTCAGTCTCTGAAAACGCTTGTTTTCGAGCAAAAAGAAAAAATCATTGGGCCGCTGAGGCGCTCGCCCAATCGGGGGCGCCTTGGATGTCGCCAGAGGTGCTGGAGGCGTCGACGTCGGAGGTGGAGGGGACGACGGAAGAAGACCGTCGATGCAACTGCCGACGTTTTGTTGGGGGGATTGGAGTTTTCCAATCCACACCAGGGAACATGAAGATGGTGGTTTCTTCAGAACAATTCGCATGGCCACACACAAATACGATCCCTCCAAGTCACTTGTCAATGGTGTCGAGAACGAAGCGATGTCAGCGGTCCATGGAACCGACGTGCTGAACCCGTACCCGGTCCGTTTCTGGCTGCTCGGGGGCTCGTGGGCGGAGGCCATCGCAGGTAGGTTGGAGGCCGCTCCCTTCATGGGATTTTAAATAATATGATGGTCACTTATATCTTTAAAATCCATGCATATTCTTTTCTTTTATATTATCTAATGTGGGATTTATTAGATTTATCGTTCACTTTTATAATAATAAATCCGGAGCGTGAAGGGACGCGATGCACGGAGCGTTAGCGGAAATCGGTGGATGCACTTGGCACCCTATGCCCTCCATGCCCTTCGGACTTCGGCGAGCTTCGGGTGCCGAGCCCGTGCGACCGGTCAGGCCGTCAGGGCCTTCAGGATTCTGGCAGATGGTCTTGGTCTTTGCAGGTAGAGAGGTAGAGAGGTTGAGAGACCTTGTGGAACTTTACAGCGGTCAATCGGTGATAGGGTCAGACTATCGTAGGGCTGTTGAACCTCTCTAGGTCATGCACAAGATGACGTCGAAATGAACAAACCCAAATAGCTCAACCGACCCCGTCGATTCCACCACCTCTAAGGGCTTTGTCCGTCCGTCCGTCCTCGTATCCCGCATGCGTCAGGGCAACAAACCCACAGCGCCCAGCGACATTTGGTCCTTGGGTTGTTTGATCGCCAGGGGTGCTCGGTCGGGCGCGAATCCGACAGTCAGCCTCGAATTGGGAGCTGGTAGACATCCCACCCTAAAGAATCCAGGCCTGCACCCTTACAGTGGATTGAGAGTAGATGGCACAATCACCAAATTCGGTGGCTTAGTAGTGGATCCCCATCTAAATTCAACGACATCTCGGGGTGCCAGTGCCATCGAACCTCTGAAACCACTGTTCAAAAACCATAGAAAAGGTTTGGGACCCGAAGCCACTCTGCGAACTGGAGGGTTCTCTTTCCGATGTTCACGTTCACATCGGGTCTGCTAGGGAGTCCATCCCTGGAAGGAGGCGTCGACCAGCTAGAGATCTCGGACAGGCCCCAAGTAGTGTAGGGTATAGCCCATTGGAGTGTCCCCATTGACACCCTAAGGCTTTCAAGACCATTCAAAGAGTTCGGTTGACCTGGTTTTGTAGTGTAAAACCTTTAGTAAAACAATGGTTGTTCGGCGTTCGGGATTCAGGCTATTAAAACAATGGTGGGCCACAACTTCTAGGGATATATAGTGCAAAGAGAACAGAGTTGGGACTCACTATTACTATAGTTGGCTTTGGCAGTCCCAGTGTCACCGGGGTGCTCAACAGCATCTCAGGAGGAACCCAGGGGGGGGAACCAAGGGCCGACAGATAGACGGGAGAAGTCAAGTGGAGCTGCTGGCGGCCAGTGGTCCATGACATTCCCAACAGAAGTTGAAGAACCCTATAGGCTATCCTATGGGTCCCGAGGGTTACGGGTCCTATGTACGGTCACTTAAACCCTCTTGACTTGATCATTGAAGATGTTTTGGAAGATTCCTCACCTTGTTTCGACCAAATCACCGCCGAAGCTAAGAGGAACGGTATACTCTGACCGGCTACGGAAGGTGGAGCAGGTCCCAGGTCCCTGGGACCTTCCATTCTCGACCGAAAGAAGAGCACCGGTGAACTCCACGTCGAACTCCGTCGTGGGCACCTAGCATCGGACGTAGCATGTTCAAGAGGTCGTCCAGAGTGGCCACTGTGAGAAACACACCGAACCTGGCAAACCCCAAATGCTTGGTTCCAATGCTTGCTTACTTGCTTGCTTGAGATCCTTTGCACAAGTGATCAGGACTGGGGAAGCATAACATCAATAAGAATGAACTAAAAGTTGCTGGCTTTTCCCATTTGTGTGGGCAAACAAGTGTTTTTGCATGTTTTTGCATAACATTTCTGCTTGCTTCCTTGGCTTTCCCAGAAATTTATTGAATTGGCTGTTTTAGCTCTCAGTTTGAGGGCCTTTTTCCCACAAATTCGACTCCGTTCATATGTCCTTAGGTCGTTGCTTTCATCCCAGACCTGCTTGGGACAGGCATATTCTATCGATCCATTGGGGTGGTTGAACAGGGGTCAATGTAATCCGGGATAGTTGTCGTACGTAGAGCGGGCATGGAGCGGGCATGGAGCATCCTCTCCCCCAAAGGAATCTGGTGCGGTCTTGGCCAGCGCCAGCCTGAAGGGCAAAAACCACAACCTTTTTGCAGCACCCTCCAACAGGTCTTTGATGGCTGATGGCTTTAGACTAGACAAGCGGCAGGTGAGAGGTGGTGACCTGTAAAGTCGTGTGTTTTTCTCCATGTGCATCGTTTTTCGTTCGTCGTTTTGGGAGGCCGGCTTTGCCTGCGTACCTTCGTTTGTTGGTCCATCCGTCCTTCGTCTTGGCTCTGAGATGTCAAGATCTGAGTTCTGAGTTCCGGACCAGGTGCCCTTCTGACAGGGAAGCTACAACCAGAAGAGCACGGTTGCAAAGTCGATGTGTTCACTCCTGAGTTGACCGACTTGGAGACATTTGGAGAGGATCTGAAAGACCTGTGAACATCCCCGCCATGCCCCACATCATCTCACATCCCCCTTGATTCAAAGACCTGCAATATCCACGAGACCAGCCCGCTGGCGGCCTTCACGGATATCTCCCATGGATGGAGCGGATATTGGTCGAGTTGGCCGCAGAGGCGCAAGAGGAATTCCGCCCTTTGGACTGCAACAAATCGGGGAAATGGCGCGAGCACTAACCAAGCTCGGGCGTATCTTTTTGGATGGAACATACGATGGAATGTGGGGGGCTCTATAAACCACTCAAACTGGGCCGTGCTGAGGAGAGTTGCTCGTCACCAGATATCCGTAGTTCTCCAGCATTTCTGAAAAGTGGACAAGGCCCTCCCTGCGCAAAGCAAAGCAGTCACTACTACAAGTTATACCTACAATATTTCTTAAGTCTTCCTGTTGCGGACATGCCATCCACTTTTCATACACATGCATGCTACACATGCTATCACACATCCTTCCATTCCGGCTTTGGCCCACTAGTGGCCGACCATGTGGAGCCATTGGTGCAGACGAGTGGAATATATCGTGGAATGAAGAAGCCCACTAGTGGCCGACCAGTCAGAGTCCCGTCGGCAGCCCAGCCACTGGCAGCCACTATCCGAGGAACTGAACTGCTCAGACTCAGTCTACCAGGAGTCACAAGTACGGGGTGGTGTTTAGTCCCCTTACGTGAGTGGATGTGACAGGGGCACCCTAACCTCCATGGATCGCACGCCTTTGTGACTGCTGGTAGGGTCCAGGGCGGCAGGTCCCAAAAAGGTTCCAGGGATCCAACGAGAAAAAGGGTTCCAACGGATGGGAACCACTTAAGTTTGAATGATCATTCTTGATGCGTTGCCATGTAGAACATGGCCTTCCAGCTGGGTCCAGGCATGGCCATCCTGCCATCCTGCTTTGGTCCGTACGGACGGAGCTCTTGCTCTTGGGTATGGTGTTTGACCTGCGAGGTTGGGACGCTGAGGTTGGGAATCGAATCCTTAAGCGGTTTGACCAGAATATAGCGAGTGCGATCTGGACAGTTTTCAGGTGTTACTTTCCATTGATGTGCAAGTTGTTTCAACAGGTGGATCCTGAGTCAAAGCTGTGCAGAAGCATCGTTTCCACTGTACATCACGTGTTTTTTTCTCTTTTTTTTCTTTCGCTTCCAGCCTCGGAAGAAGTGCCCCAGTGGAGTTGGGTGGTTTTAAGTCACTTGTCCTAGGGCTCCAAGTGCCTTCTAAGAAGGTGTTTGAGGTGGGTCTGGAGGGTCCAAATACCTTCTGAGGAGGTACTTGGAGCCCTAGGGTTGGTGAATGCATGCGACAGCGGCGACATGAAAGCTGGCCCTTGATTTGGAGATGGGTCGTAACCCACCACTAGTCCGTGCCGCGGGCAGCCTGAGCAGCTGAGGATGGGTGAACTTGCCCCAGAACTATGGTGCTGAGGCGCTCCGTCCCAAGATGTGTTTCTTTTCTATCAGGCAACGCTGAACCCCTGGTTCAGGGCCTTTTGGGGGCCTCTCTATGGCAACGTACACACCCAAATGGTCCTTCTACGTACTTCATCACCCGATTCGCGATCCTGACACCGAACGGAGTGAACTGGTCCTTTAGGATCGGGCCTTTCTGTGACCAATGGACTCATGTGTGTGACGGTATGCGGTATGGGGGGATGCGTCCAACATCAAACGCTTCGTTCGTTACGTCTTCGAAGTCTTTGTAGCTCCTCTGATCACTGACTTACATGTTTTTTTGTACGTCGGGCTGCTGAAATCAGCTGGCATAGGGATGCTGAAATCAGCCAAAACGGAGCTGTCTTCAGGGCTGTGTAGCGGTGAACTGGCACCCTTTGTATCCGTTTCAGCCATGTGAACTGGGCCATGTTAAGGGCAAATGTGAACGAATATGATGTTGATACTATACGTACGCTTGGGGATTATTATATAATGTTGGATCCTCATCAGTGAAAGGGGCTCCGTCCCCCTTCTAAACAAGTTGGTGAGACTACCACCAAAACAAATCTGGATTACTGGGAGGAGTCCTTTTCCATTTGCTTGTTGCATTGATGTTTCTTTCATATATTGTATTACTGTAATTTTCCTTTCTCAGCTTCTTTCGGTTCTCAGCCTCAGATCTTCAGCTCAAGAAACGCCTTCAGCTTACTCATTTCCTGAACTTCATCCGCATTCTTGACAGCCTCAGATGACATTTGGGGCCCAAGGATCTGTTGGGGCCCCAAATCCAGGGTGTTACCTGGCCGCTTACACTCTGCAAGACGCACATGGAAGTGGAGAATGGCCCCTTGGAAGACCATTTTCCACTACAAATAGGTGGTTTTCCACTTCCATGTTAGTTTTCGGGAGTGTAATCAAATGATTGTTGGTTGGTGCAATTAATTCAGCTGTTGCTTTTCTCCGCGTCTTCAGGGGTCACAACTACAGAAGGGGTCCTCAGGAGGAGCTGAGCTTTGGTGCCGGCATAAGGTGATTCTAAGGAGGATCCCGAGGCAGGCGAACCGCACCTATTTGCACCACCTTTGCATCAAACTGATCCTTTTGTTTCACGTTTTTCCCGAAAGCATTGCGAAGGGTTCTTCCGGAAAATCCTTTGAACACTTACACTTCGACACTTACACTTACACACACACACACACTGGACGAGCGAAAGCATCCAAGTGCGAAGTATGCCAGTGTCAAAGTATGCAAGTGTAAGTATGCAAGCATGATATGCAAGGGTGAGTATGCAAGCACGCAATGAGTATACAAGCATGCAATGAGTAGGCAAGTGTGAGTATGGAAAACTAGCACGGGAGATGTCCTAATGAAAAAACATTTCCCCACTTTATAAATTCTCTCTTAAGGCGGAGTGCGGGACGAACAGCGTCAACCGAAAGTGCAACCCTCTGCGGAGATCGTGCGTGTCGAGTGCGCGAAATGCAGGCGAGAGTGCGATTTGTCCGGTGCGCGCGCAACCCTCTGCGGAGATCGTGCGTGTCGAATGCGCGAAATGCAGGCGAGAGTGCGATTTGTCCGGTGTGCGCGCAACCCTCTGCGGAGATCGTGCGTGTCGAGTGCGCGAAATGCAGGCGAGAG